GGGGGGGGGGGGGGAGGTGTGGCATTTTATATTTTTGCAAAAAAATCCAATAAAGGTGGGGAGCGTGTATAATTTGAAAGTATATATAGCTAATGCTAATACTTTAAAAAGGATTTTTCAACATTCTCAAAGGGTAATCTCTCGGCCGCTCCTCCTAACACAATCATTAATACCATGTTCTTCTAGGTTTTCATTTATTATGCAAGAATCAAAACAAATCCATTGTCATTGATGTCTTGAAGTTTTTTTTTTTTTTGGACATAAAGTCCATTGACTAATCTTTCATTTTGATGAACTTAATAATGAGTATTCAGTCTTCACTAGAAGTAGGTTCTTTGTAATTTTATATAAAGCTTTGTCTCCCAAAAACAAAGGAATAAATCATTCCTCCCATCAAATCTCTACTTACCTTCTAGATATCATCATGATACACTATAATTACAACTAACCTAATCATTATTTATTATATCCTTCTAATTTTGTAATTATATATTATACACCAAAAAAGGTTGACACACACCTAAACCTATGATTATAGTTAGGAGTGTTTGGTAATATTTTGTTTAAGTAGTTGATACTTTTTGTTAAGTGTATTATATTACATGTGATAAAGTTAGAAAAGATAGAGTGAATCTGGATAAAAGAAAAGCAGAACACAAAAATTTTTGGATGGACAATATAACAAGCATAGATTTTGGTGCGACTAAATTGAACAATTCATACAATGTTCTAGGTGGTCCAAGATAAGGAATGGTAGTAGACCGAGAAAAAATAGGAATTTGTTCAAACTTGTTTTATATGGATCAGAGATAGACCATATATATTAGACAATGAATATATATGATGCTATTTATATAAACTCGTACATAAATAGAAATGGGGATGGACTAAAATTTACTCTGTCCGAATTAAACCCGTTAGTTTATATATATTCCCAAGGACTTGGCCCTAATTTTTTATTAGTGTTATTGTTGTTGTTTTTGAATTAATCATATCATGATTGTTTGAGTCATGAATTTTGTTAACTTATTATTATTATTTTTTTGGTTTTGATCATAACAGGTAATACCAACATACATTTTGTACTTTACAAGTTACGATTTTTTTTATTAAAATTATAGAAATTATTTGTTATGTGTAGAGTGAGGGTAAGGTGGAGGTGATGGCAGAGATTAGAATTTATCCATGGGACGAGGATAAGGATTAAACTTAGTTATGTTAATAAGGATGGACAAGGGATAAACATACATTTTTTAAGTGAGAATAGAGTGGAGACTACTCCTCCCACCCCGTCCCGGTCCGCTGCCATTCCTACCCAAGATAGTCCTCAAACTGAATTCTACTCAACCGGGCTTAATGAGTCCACTCTTTCCTAGACCGAAACCATTGAACCGGGCTTTATTATTGTCCACATATTTTCTTGGCAATCAAATGGATCCATTTCCTTCTTACTATTGTTCCGGTCCAGTTTCTTTGAAATGAGACTCTCTCCCCTAATTGATCGAACCTTTTGGGTCGTTTTATCGCAAGGTTTCAGTAGCCCAAACACAATAACAAAGTCGCTTTTGTTTAGGATTAAAGCCCAGCCCATTAAGCTCATCTGTCGGTCACTCGAAGCCGAGAGAGTAAATCAATTGCTCTTCAACTCCGTTGTTGATATCTATCTTCACATTTTCCGGCGAAACCCCTATATACATTCTGTCTTTCAATCGGCATCTTACTCATCGGCATTATATACATACAGAAAGGTGACCATGCCTCCTCGAAATCGGAGGGCGAAGAAATTGACTCCGAAATCGAAGAAACTAGCGGACATTGATTCGACTTCTCTCGCCGCCGCCGACGACGACATCACTATGGCCGAACCGGAAAACAAAGATCAAGGACCACCACTGGAAGAGACTTTTAGTCCTCAAGAAGAAAATGTATTGGCCGAAGCGAAGATTAAGGATTCTTATAAGGTGGAACATCCTGTGATTGCAGCCGAGAAGGAAATTAAACAAGAAGATGATGATGTTCTTGCTGAAGAGCTTATCACTCATAACGAACGAGATGTAATGGCTGAAGCGGAGATTAGGGGCTCTGATGAGGTGGTACAGCCTGTGATTGAAGAAGAGAAGGGAATTAAACAAGAATATGAAGTTCTGGCTGAATCGACTATCACACCTCAAGAAGGTAATCTATTGGCTGAAAGGAAGAGCAGGGATTCTGATGAGGTGCTTCAGCCTTTGATTGCAGCAGAGAAGGAAATTAAACAAGAAATTGAGGTTCTGGACGCAAATTTAATGTCAATTGAGGGTTTGGCTGGTGGCGCTCATGATAAGGCTGTGGAGAAAGTGAAGCCTCAAGAGGGAGAAGTTGGTGATGTTGTAGTGGAAGATGATGTGAATGCAGAGAATAGGGTTGTTGTTGAGGGCCTTGGTATTGTGAAAGAGGAAAGAGAAAGGATGGAGGGTGTGGGTGATAAGAGTGATAATGTGAATGCGCTGGAGATGTTAGGGAGGGGTACCAATGTAGCTGAAGAAAAGGGAGTGGAGAGGGAACTAAACGAGGAGGGTGGAAGCGTAGCCAATGATGGCGCTCAATTGGGGATTATTCCAGGTACTGAGATAGCATCTTATTAGTAGTAGTTAAGGTTGTTTTGTTCAATTAAATTGGACTTATGGAGGGACAATTTGAGGTTTCCGGCGTTAATACCCTCTCCCTTTCCTATTATTAAACATTGTATTTGAATGCACTACATTACACTCTAGGTTGCAAAATTTTAGCAAACAATTGTTTTTACCAAATTCTTCATTTTAATATTCTAATTATAACTTAATGACCACAACTTGCTTGAAAACTCTATAAATAGCTTGCTTGGATGTTAGGTGTTTAGGTGGCATTGAACCAAAAGCAATGCTCAAAATTCTATATCTGAAGGCATTATGCTGGTTGTGCTTTAAACAGCCTTTGGTTTGTCAAAAGAATTCAGTTAAAACATGAGAAGAAAGATGTGTGGTGAATGGTGATTAATATTTGGAAAGAGAGTGGTTGTATTGATGCCCGTGAAGGGTGAGCGGAGGGAGTGCAAAGCTGTTGTAGGTACCTTGCCATTGTGTTTGGGTTTAGCTATTCCAATTGTTTTCATGCCTATGTGGAAGGAATGGTTTATGATCATTTTGAGCACTCTGCATCTATAGAGTTTAAGTAGAGACTAGAAAGGCCTTATGCTCAGCTGCTTCAGCATTATATATCGTCAACCTTGGGTTTTGGAGGTTTTAAGATTGTTCCCTTTTTTCTTTTTAACTTAATTTTTTTATTCTTCTTTCGCCCGTGATGGTTGTTTCCTTTCTAGACTTAGTAACATTCTTTAGCTTGTTTCTGTTGGGTCTTTTGTCATGGAGGCTTATGCATTCTGCTTGTATTTGGGCTTTTTCTTACGGCTGCCTTCCAATTTTTTCTACTAACAAGAAACAAAAGCAATACAGAATATATTCTTTTGCATCCAGCAACTGTGGACTCAACTAATATAGACCTGTTGGTTTGTTCTGATTATTAGTCTGCTCTCAAAGATGGGTGAATCAGCTCACCATGCATTTGTAGTCTGGGTATAATATACCTTGCAGACAAAACTATGATTGTTGGCATATATAAACTATGAGAAGTTCACTCTTGTTGTACTGCCTTGTTTCTATCCCTTGGTAATTTTGGGGTGTCATGTGACTTGTGTCACTTCCAAAATTTTTGAAATCCATTGCTCAGGTAACAAATCAATAACTAGGGAAGAGGATGAAAGCCTGTCTATGATCCTCCTCACTCCAAGAATTTTCAATTTACTATTCACTCTCTTACCTTGCTGTGAGTATAAAGCAATAGATGAACGATTGAACAAGATAAGGGCCTTTGCTTGGTGCAGTGGTGTATGCCTGGGATGGCTGATGGCATGTAATGCATGATCAACCCTAAGGATAGTCACAGTGCAATAAACTTTTCTGATGGAATGAGAAGCCAAAACCTGCACTGCTGCTTATTGAACAAAACCTGCACTGCTGCTTATTGAACGGGCAGCACCATCAGCGTTCATAGACGAAAATGGAGTATGGATGATTATTTACTTACCAGGTCATGTATTGCCTTTTGAGGCACCAGTTGAGGGAAACCCATCCATAGATTTTAAGGTCAAAAAACCTTATATTTGGTTTATCGTTTACTTGACGGAAATCTTTGTAAGAAGTTATATGTTCTGCATCGATTTTTGTATCGCCTTTATTGGCTAGTTAGTATCAAAAAAAAATTTGTGCTTCAAGTTTGTTAATTAAGTATGTTGGTGGACAAGGGGTTGTTACTTGTTAGATAACAGTTACTCCATTTGATCAATCCCCTGAGAATATGGGATCTTTAATTGAGTCTGTATTGGCTATTTATTCCTTTCCAAATTTATAGTCTGCAATATCATCCATATCTCCTATCAGTCACCCCCAGGGTTTGTGGGAGACTAACTTCCAGTTTCTAACGTCTTGAGAGAACCTAAACCACCACTATGCACCTGGTAGTACACTATGCATGTCTTGTGTTTTTCCACTCTTAAACAAAGTTTCTCTGCTGCTTATTTTTCTCACAGAATGTAGCCCTTGTGGATTGTTTGGAAAAACTTAGTTGATGATGTTTACGATTGTCAATGTTCACTGAGTTAGTTTTTTCAGTTGCTGAACAGAACTACGCTGAAGAAGACACTGCTGCTGCCCAAATTAATGTCGCTAAGGCACCCATGGGTGGTCTTGCTGTCGATGAAGCTCATACTGGGAAAAGAGATGAAGAGGGCAGTGATGGTGATGAGAAAAATAGTGAGGACAGCGAAGATGATAATGAAGGCAGTGATGAGGCAGACCCCACTGTGTTTATGCATGATCCGCTTACTGTGAGGAAGAAACATAGGAGTTTAGAAATTTATGTTGGAAGACTGGATAAAGGGGCTGTTGAGGAGGATCTGAAAAATGTCTTTGGGAAGTTTGGGGAAATCAAAGACGTAAGGATAGTAAGGAATTCAACTACAAATAAGAGCAAAGGTTTTGCATTTGTTCGATATGCAACTGTTGAGCAAGCCAAAAATGCTCTCACCGAGTTGAAGGATGGAATTGAGGTGCAAAATGTTGACTGTTGAAGTTACACACACACACACAAATATGCATATAGCAAAGACCATTTGACTTTTTCTAAATGTCAGGAATAACAAAGTATTTTCCTCTGGCAAGGTAAGGGGCAAACATGTTAAGATATCAGCAAGCCAGGACAATGATACACTTTATGTGGGCAACATTTGCAAAAAATGGAAAAAAGAGGATGTAAGCTTCTAATGTGACTATTTTTACTTACCATTTCATGTGCATGTAACAATATGTTTGGTGATGTGGATAATTGCAAGTGTGAGTTTTATTTTATGTTCTTTATTTTCTTCTTCAATCAACTTATAAAAGGGGAAAGATCTCTTTAGTCTTTACACTAATTTTACTGCAGGCTGTGCCTTTCATTGATGGCCTAAAGCTGACTTTTCTTTTGCTTCTTTTCTTTCTTTCCCCCCGAAGGTATTCGAAAAATTTAAAAGCTATGGAATTGAGCATATCGAGGAGCTACATTTGCCAGATGGTCCCAAGAATGGAGGGAGGATTAAAGGTTATGCACTTCTGGAGTTCAACACCCATTCTGATGCAATGGTAGCATTTCATCGACTTAGAAAACCAGATGCTGTTTTTGGCCACAATAGAAGTGCCAAGGTTGCTTTTACACGAGCCTCTATGCACCCAAATGAGGAAGTGTTATCACAGGTTAGGAATCCGAGTTCTAATCTTAAGTGTTATCATAGGTTAGGAATCCGAGTTCTACTCTTACTTACCTAGTGTTATAAGTCAGATAGGCTTATTAAAAACTATATCTAATACTGTCTAAATGATGCATCATATGAAAAAGTGTGCTTGTGCTTCTGCATGTAGTACTGAAGCTCTCTATTGTAAAGTGCATTATTTTGAAATGACAGATTATCTCTGGTTGAGATAAACCATTTTTACACTTGGTAGAGTGGATCTGGCTACAGGTATATGTTGAATACGGCCAATCTTGCTATAACTAAGACTTTATCTCATGCAATTCCTTTGAGTGATCAACTTGATTCCATGGTTAATAACTGAGCATTGATACCTAGTAGTATTATTTCTCAGAAGGCTCAAAGCTATTAGATATTTGTATAAGATGTATACACTATAGAGTTTTTGAATAGAGAACAAAGAGTATTTTTGTTTTTGTACAGTCAGCAAAACTTGTTATTTTCATAGAAATACTATATTCGAGATGCAGACTTGATTGCTAAACACTATTGCCTAGTTAGATTATTAGGGTGAGTCACATATAAGCAGTACCTGCTGCATCTCATCCCATCCTTTTCTGTTTGGTCTTCCTTCATTGCTCTCTTACTCTCCCACATGCCCACAAACAGACGCACTAGATTCGTGATTACATCGAATTTTCAGTAATAGCTTGAGGATATTATTCTCCACATTGATTTGGAGTGCATGAAGGATACTTTGTCCGACTAGGGTCAGTGGTGAAAAACAGTAATCTCCATTTCAAGGGCAACTTATGGCACGCTAGACTTCACAAAATCATTGGAGGCACTAAAACGAGCACAACATACTCACCCTTTATGACGATTTCCTTTTTTGTTTTTGTGAAGAAGCTAGGGTCATTACTATCAAGACTTAGGCCTTGTAAGATAATTAATGACCATCGAGGTCAGGTTAAAGTCCACAAAGTTGCTAGAAGCCTAAAAGTTGTTCTTGTTATTATATGCATGCTTAGTTCCCAAGTAAATATTTTTGTCCTGGTTGGGCACCCTAACTAGAAACTGTAATTTTTTCTCTGAATTGAATAAAAATAAAACAACATATTTAAATTTATTGTGTTATATTTGATATTTAAATATTTATTAAATACAAAAAGATCAATCCGTGATGTACATAGCATATATAAACAAAAAAAATAAAAAAAGAGATTAATTAGAGCCATTGACAAAAAAATGAGGCTAATTGCATACAATTGACTTTGACAAGCTTTCTTACTTTGAAAATGTTACTTGGTAATTTCATTATCAATACCATTAAAAGAATTTTTTTAAATATATACAATCAAGCTATATATAAGTGATTCATTATTGATCACTTATTTAATTATGTAACCAAGTTTTTACAATCTTTAAAGCTTAAATAATTGCAAAATGAGCCCAACATATCAACAATTTATCTAAATATGTCTGTAATGTGTTTGAAGCATGTGCCAAAGTTTATAGTCATTTTATTGTATATCATACTAATTGATAGGACAAAAAAATAATTGGGTGGGCACTTTTAAGTATACCGAACAACTAACAGAATTATATACACGTAGTAATGCATTTAAAAAAAATTCAAAGTGGGCCGGCCCCCACCCCCCGCACGGATCTCTTCTTGGTTCCGCCCTTGATTATCTCCCTACCCCACCCTCACTCCCCAAAAACAATAATAACAAACTCAAGTTAACAAATCCTCTTCTTCCAACAATGAGTTTCACAGCTGGCAAGTCTTGGATGTATTATAAGTTGTTATGCACTTGCTACAGGTCATTTTAGAGATTTAAATTTCTCAGCCGGTTCTGTTTCCACCTCAAGATTCAGTGTAGGGGCTTAGGCAATTTACATATGGTTATTATCTTGTCTCTATGGATCAAATATGTGAGAAATTGTGATTTTTTTTTTCCTGACATTGTAGTCTCTTAAAGAATGAAATCTGCATTTTGTATATGTTGAACAGTTCACTGCAATTATTTCTTTGAAGATACTTGATTTTATACCTGGAAGTTAGCAGTGTAAAGAGGGACATATCTTCAATTTTCTGCTGTAGGTTAAATCCGTATATATAGAAGGGCTGACGGACGCTTGGAATGAAGATAAGGTGAAGGAGATCTGTAAACAATACGGCGACGTTACTGAAATTAAGTTATCTCAAAATTTAGGCACCAAACGTAAAGATTTTGGGTTTATTACTTTTACTTCTCGAGGAAGTGCTTTAGCTTGTGTGGAGGGGATCAATAATGCTAATATTGGAGAAGAATTGAAGGTAAAAAGGTGGTTTTCTGAATTTTTTTTCTATTTTTCATTTTTGAGCTTTTCTTGGAGTAATGTCCTTAATGTTGTGTTTGGTAGGGTGGATGAAAATATAGAAAGAGAAAAGTGGGAATGATACATTTTCTATCATTTAAGGGAGGAATGATTTGTTCCCTTATTTTAGTTTGGTAGGATGGAAAAGTGGAAGGATGAAAAAAATATAGATGTATATTTTATTATTGCATTTATATATAAAATTAATGTGTACATAATACGTAATAAAAAAATAATATATATGTGTATTTATATATGTGTGTATATATATATATACACACACATATACATATATTAAAAGATATAATTATATAAAGGTAAATAACATAAATTCCAACTCACTTTCCATCCACTTTTCCTCTTAATTTTAGAGGGATAGGTTTTGGTGAGTTAGAAGGACCAACTTTCAATCATTCCATTTTTCCATTATACCAAATAAAGCATAAGTGTCATTTGTTTCAGGTTAAAGCCAGCATGGCAAAGCCACATTCTAAGGGTCGACTGCAAAAGCAAGGATTTCGTGGGGGATTCCAGGTTAAGAGAAAGAGTAAAGTTCCTTCTCCCGAAAAGGAGAGTGACAGGGATGGGGCCAATGGGCAAGCTGGATTGTCGCAGATGACTGGTCATGGAAAATCTAATCAGCCAAAAAGAAAGCAACAGGCAATAGCTGTAGAAAAGGGGAAGTCTCTCTCTGAGTTGAAAACTGCTGAAGGGGGCAAGCCTAATAAACCCCACAGCATCACTGAAGGTCAAAGGATTGGAGCACCATCCAAGTTGGAAAAAACTAATCGCAAAAGAAAGAGTTTACCTTCAGAAGGCCAGAATCATGGCAGTGGAAGGCCATCAAAGAAATCAAAAGGTACTTGCCTTGAAGTAGTTAGTACTTAGTGCCCATAAACTATTATCTGTTTGACAAATTATATGGGAGTAGCTGGAGGCNTGTTGAACAGTTCACTGCAATTATTTCTTTGAAGATACTTGATTTTATACCTGGAAGTTAGCAGTGTAAAGAGGGACATATCTTCAATTTTCTGCTGTAGGTTAAATCCGTATATATAGAAGGGCTGACGGACGCTTGGAATGAAGATAAGGTGAAGGAGATCTGTAAACAATACGGCGACGTTACTGAAATTAAGTTATCTCAAAATTTAGGCACCAAACGTAAAGATTTTGGGTTTATTACTTTTACTTCTCGAGGAAGTGCTTTAGCTTGTGTGGAGGGGATCAATAATGCTAATATTGGAGAAGAATTGAAGGTAAAAAGGTGGTTTTCTGAATTTTTTTTCTATTTTTCATTTTTGAGCTTTTCTTGGAGTAATGTCCTTAATGTTGTGTTTGGTAGGGTGGATGAAAATATAGAAAGAGAAAAGTGGGAATGATACATTTTCTATCATTTAAGGGAGGAATGATTTGTTCCCTTATTTTAGTTTGGTAGGATGGAAAAGTGGAAGGATGAAAAAAATATAGATGTATATTTTATTATTGCATTTATATATAAAATTAATGTGTACATAATACGTAATAAAAAAATAATATATATGTGTATTTATATATGTGTGTATATATATATATACACACACATATACATATATTAAAAGATATAATTATATAAAGGTAAATAACATAAATTCCAACTCACTTTCCATCCACTTTTCCTCTTAATTTTAGAGGGATAGGTTTTGGTGAGTTAGAAGGACCAACTTTCAATCATTCCATTTTTCCATTATACCAAATAAAGCATAAGTGTCATTTGTTTCAGGTTAAAGCCAGCATGGCAAAGCCACATTCTAAGGGTCGACTGCAAAAGCAAGGATTTCGTGGGGGATTCCAGGTTAAGAGAAAGAGTAAAGTTCCTTCTCCCGAAAAGGAGAGTGACAGGGATGGGGCCAATGGGCAAGCTGGATTGTCGCAGATGACTGGTCATGGAAAATCTAATCAGCCAAAAAGAAAGCAACAGGCAATAGCTGTAGAAAAGGGGAAGTCTCTCTCTGAGTTGAAAACTGCTGAAGGGGGCAAGCCTAATAAACCCCACAGCATCACTGAAGGTCAAAGGATTGGAGCACCATCCAAGTTGGAAAAAACTAATCGCAAAAGAAAGAGTTTACCTTCAGAAGGCCAGAATCATGGCAGTGGAAGGCCATCAAAGAAATCAAAAGGTACTTGCCTTGAAGTAGTTAGTACTTAGTGCCCATAAACTATTATCTGTTTGACAAATTATATGGGAGTAGCTGGAGGCTGGAAAATGATTTTTCTGCCTTGAATACATAGGCAATAGACATGGAAGGCAAAATGAGATGTCCAAAACGCCAAAGAGAGGCAATCATGTGGGAAAAAGACCAGAGTATGCTGCATTCACAGGTTATTCTCAGGGTCATACCTACAGCGCAGTTTCAGCATCAAAGAGGCACTGCACAGATATGGTAGAATATGTTCTTTTTCATTAATTAGTATCAACTCTCGGCCATGGCTGGTTCAATTGTAAAAGTGTTACTTTCCAGGAGCCCCATGCTGGATATATTGAACCTGTTGCTGGGAAGCATGGGGGACGTCGTGTAGGATACCCCGAACCCTCTCATGCAAAATACTTTGAACCTGCTGGTGGAGCACACAACCAGCCTCATGCAGGATACCTTCAACCTGCTGTTGGAGCACGAGGCCGAGCTCATGCGGGATATTTTGAACGAACTGTTCCGATTCAAGTCCAAATTTATGGTGGATACCTTGAACCTGCTGTTGTAACACGAGGGCAGCCACATACTGCGTACCTTCAACCTGCAGTTGGAAACCATGCTCACCATTTATATGACCCTGGGTTGAGAAGGTTCTATTGCACATCTAACCATGTTCTAATTTGAGCTTCCACTTCTTTTTGTTTGATGAATAAGCTTAACAACAGTTATGTTGTCAACAGAGCTGTTGGACATGATGGCCAAGGCAGCCATGGTTCTGGTGTCAGGAGAGGTATTCTCTCTCTCTCTCTCTCTCTCGCTCAAATCAAAAATAAAAACAAAATAAAAAAAGGAATAAAAGAATCCTATGATAAGTATCTTCGTGGCATGAAATGAGCAGGCATGACATCTTGGAAACGATCATTCTTATGTGGAGCAACATCTTTTAGATTTTTTTTTTTTTTTACCATGAAGCTTAAGGCTTCGTTTGGTTAGCGAGAGATTGACGAAAAGTGTGCGAACGAGAAAAAAATCCTAATTTTTTGGTGTTTATTTACCATGATAATGCTAGAAAATGCTAGAAAGTAAATTCCTAAACTCACAAAATTTTCTGGTAAATTGCAGTTCTTGATTCCTACAGATTGTGTAGGGAATTTCCCGTATCTAGTTTTCCACTTTGCCCATGTTTCCTCCCACGTTGGTCATTATCTATTGGATATAAATCTTTCAAATATAAATAAGGGTAATATTGATATTTAAACAAATTTTCTTGTAACTTTCCTGCGTTTCATAGTTCAAACTATAGAAAAAAAAAAATTTAAAAATTTATTGTACATATTTCATGCTAATCAAATACATGAAAAAAAATATATACTTTCTCTTTTCTTTTTCCTTTCTTTTATTTCACTTTCTACCACTTTCACTTTCTATCATTATTTTCTTTCTAACTAAATGGACCCTAAGGGAAAATATGTAATAATGTGTTGCGAAGAAAGAAAAACCACCTCCATCAATCCTTTTTTAGGATGACATGGGAGATGTTTATATAAACCTTAACAGTTTTAGTGGACCTGCAGCTGCCCCCCACCCCTTTACACAAAAAAAAAAATAGTCACTCCTTGGTAATTGTAGGGTATTGGGCATGAGTTATTAGTGGGGAAGCAAGGTACTCCCTCTTCGCCACCTAAGCAATGATGTTAACTTCACTTGTTATGGGCCAAGACTTGTGTGATTTCCAATGTACAGCTATATGAAGAGAGCTTATTTTTGGATTACAACTTGTTTCATTTCTTGGGTATGTGAATTGTGCTTTGGACATATTTTCTGATGTTCTAGTTGAATGTTTGTTGAAAATAAGTGTCTCCTGATGGTTTTCTGTTTGGAGTACGCATATCATTTTTCTGAAGTGTTTTTGTTTGGCATGTCTGAAACTACTGGCTTGTCTACCATGATTTTGAGTGTCCATGCCATTGTTTGGAAGTAACGAATGAAATAGCATTTCCTATTGGTAGTGTCTGATTTTTTGTGTGATTGTGCAGTCAGTCCAGCTGGTCGGCCTGCCTATACTCATACAACCTACACGAGCTATACTGGTTATCAGGTCCTCTCTCTCTCTCTCTCTTATATATATGTGTATGTACCTTCCTACACACACAAATTGGTATGAAAATCTGTAGAAGTAAATTCTGGTTATTGGTTGGATTGGATTTGATGCTCAACTGATGCAACCTTGACAAAGATTTATTGGATAAAATAATTGAGCATTGTAACAAGGCTAGTGGAACAATCCCATTTTTAGATCTCAGTTTAATTCACACACTCGTCATATTCAGCATAACATACAACAGCTCTGTTCACCTTTCGTGAACATTATGAGTACTACACCTAACCTTCCTTGAAGGTTCCCTTTTAAAGAGAGTCTTTTGACACATCTTTATAATGTCCTTTGCTTTGTTTTCATCATCTGTTTGCTACTCGGTGCAGGATGGTGCTCATGGTGGTGGTTATCATCAAAGCAGTGGAGTATTTCTCCCTCGAAGAGTATATCACTAGACAATTGATGGAGAGAGTTAGCTTCCGAGGATGAATCTATGCATATTCTTCAGACGGTTGACCCCGGCCGCCCAGGGAAGGGGGGGGGGGGGGGGG